GCCTGTTGACCGATGTGTACTACATACCCAGCCTACAAAGCAACATCATAAGCCTTGGTCAAACAACGGAAGGTGGATGCAACATTCACATGAAGTGCGACTTGCTAACCATTCATGATGACACGGGGAAGCTTATGATGAAGGTGACGAGGACCAAGAATCGTTTGTACAAGATCAATCTCAAGATAGCAAGTCCCAGTACACAAGTTAGCATGATTGGAATGAAGAATTTTGTGGGTGAGGATCTACAAAGAGTTGATCAACTGAAAGAAGGTACGCGAAGTACGAGTCAGAATCTTCTTGGAGATCCATGTTTAATGGAGAAACCCAAAATTCAAAGTCCAAAGAAGAATGTTCAAGAGTTTAAAGGAGATGTCAAGAAAAGGATTCTAACCCAAGGAAGGACGTGTAATGATCGCAAGGAGCAAGTGTTTGTTCAAGCTAAGTAGAGCCCGAAGAACACTGCAAGGGATCATGAAGAGCCTCGGGAGAATCAAGGTAAAGAAGACATGCTTGGAGTTGAAGATCACCCGCAATCCAACTCGAAAATTAGGGGGGTGATTATTGACTAATTATCGAGTAGGATTAGGATTACCCGAGATATTCTAGTTCAAGTAGAAATAGAATTATGGATCCTAGATTATTTGTTGGCCAAGTTGGGTTAACACTATATATATCATAGCCAAGCCTTGGGTTTTGATATGAGAGTCATATGAGAAACATATGAGAGTTTATTGTAATTGGTTTTGAGTTATTTTCCAGTTATAATAAAGAGATTGTTTCCAACAAATATTCTATGAGACGACGCAAATTTATGAAAAAAGATTGCGATAAAGAAGATCAAGGTGTAAAAGAGAACGTAAGAAGATTTGTAACAATGAGGATCTAGGAAAATAAAAAAAGTAAGAAAAACTGTACAGAAAATCTAAGCTGCAATAGCTAATAAGTTCGATACTAAATTTGTTACAACCACATCAAAGAATGTTAAATTTCCAATTTGTAAATATTTTTATTTTGATATAACATTTTATATTTTGACCAGAATATTATCCCGACAAAATCATTGGAGTACTAACATTTTAATGTTTTTTAAAATCAATATGGGGGAGAAGAATAATTGAATCTTAATATTTTAAAATTAAAAATTTTAATCATAGAGATTTAGGATTGCTAATTTAAGATTTTTTGATAATGCAGGAAAGAATAATAATTTTTTTAATCATTGCAGGGGAGAGGTAGTTGGAATTATGGATGAGAAGAATCCAATTTTCTAATCATGTAATTAAAAGGTCGGTAATTTAGGTTTTCTAATTAATGTGAGGAAAAAAAATCATTGGATCATTAATACTTTTTATATTAATATATTTTTGAATTTATACAAGGAGAAAGATTATAGATCGTAGAAATACATTAAATCTAGATCATTCATATTTGATGTTTTAATAATATGTCCCATAAAAATCAATTCATTTAAAAAATCCACATTATAGAATAAAAAAAATTCGTCTAAACCAGTGCGGGGCATGGATAGAAATACTTGTTAATAAAAATTGAGGAGATCATAGCCTTAACGAGTCAAGGGTAATTTCCTCAAATTCCTGGCCATCATGACTAGTGTTGTGCACAGTGGTTGCGAACAAAATGTAATCAAGAGGTTAAATGAAGCCGCATAAACTTTGGGTTCTATGGCTAGAGATGGCGGCATAAAAATACCTTACCTTTTGGTGGTGGTGGGGTATTGTGTTCAAGTTAGTATAAACATCAATTGATTCGAGTATCATATTAGATACCCGGAGTATAAAGTATTTTAAGCGTTTTCAGACTACAAACAAAAAGATAAAAAGGTAGAAATTTTTTAGCGTTTTTCAACTCCCAATAAAAAGGAAGAGAGTAGAGTTCAAATATTTCTTAATGATGATGATAATAGAAGAGGATACATCTTCTTTTTTATATATATATAATTGATGGAGAAAAACCTTAATAAAACCATAATCTTAATGAGACTACAAAAGCTTAACACTAATGACGATCATATCGGTTCAAAAAATACATCGAAGCAAAGAACCAAAAAGAAACCTTTAAAAGAGTTTGTAATTACATTCACCTAATGAAATCATACATATTAAACTCCGTAAGAAATAATAATATGCTTCCCTTCTTTTAACAACAAACATAAATGTTATAATATGACAATAATGCTTACGGTGCTCTATTAAATAAAATTTATGGTTCTTACCTCTTAACTCCCCCTAAACCCTCCCCAAATCACCAAGCATGAATCATCATTTTTTAAAACGGGGCATCTTAGGCGTTGTTGTCATATTATGAGAATAGATTTTGTTGTCAAAACAAGGGAGCCAATAATAATAATAATAATAATAATAATAATAATAATAATAATAATAATAATAATAATAATAATAGAATCTAACTAATACTCGGTAAATAAGTACTAGCTCTGAAGTAATTAAATATCATCATCATCATCATCTAAGTGTGGGTATCACCTCCATCCTCATCTCACTCCCAGTCTTTGATGAGAACAACATAGACCTAGTGTATTTTTTCCTCCCCATTTTCCTTTGCCTCTTTCTTAGCACTTCTCTTTGATTTTGCCCAATGTGTTCCAAATCCCTGGTCACCCCAATCTAAACCATATGAGTTTTGGTAAATCCATCCAAGTCTTTTCCCTCTTCCCCACCGCTTATACTCCCATCCAATAAAACTCACGGCATGGCCAATCTCAATCTTTGATGAGGACGGCATACATAGTTCACCAACAACAGCTCCATTTGTCCTTATAGCTGTCATCACTTGATCACTAAAGTTTTCATCCTCGGGATCAATCCCGGTCCAACTAGCAATCATTCGGTATCTTCGCGCACCCTGATAATGACGATTAAAAATAAAATGACAAAAAACAACCAACAAAAAAATTGTAGTAAACAGAAAGAGAATATATATTATTCCGTAGAAAATTACGGGAGGAGCACCCTCTTCCCACCCCACTAATTTCTTCTTCCATCTCCAAACCACCGGAGGAGGTAGCCGGAGACAAAGAGTACGACGACTCTTCTTTGCCATTAGCTAGTTGGGAGTGATAAAGCTAAAAATTAAATTACCTTACGCGGCGCTTTGGTTGATTTGTCGTAATCGTCCTCCGCAACTAGACCGTCGGTAGCCTTCATTTTCATCAAATAGTTGAGCACATTTTTGATGTTTCTCCTCTGCGGTGTGTTAGGGAATTTTTTCACAATGTCAACCAATTGTGTTAAGGAGATCTGTGGGGCCAGGATCCCTTTTTCCTTGGCAGCCTTATTTGCTCCAGTCTGTATAACATTGCGAAGAGCAAAACCGATGCAGAAATCTAGAATACAATAACAACCCAAATTACAACTTATCTACTGATTAATTAACAAATACTCTCTTAAAAGATATTTTCTCAGGATGATTTCAAGCCGGTAATTTACCAGCTTGTTGGAGTCAATGTTCTTATACTGTTTAACAGAAAAAAAAAAAAAAATTGGAGGAGCAATACTGGCGGATGAGATGGGTCTGGGCAAGACAATACAGGCCATTACATACTTGACCCTACTAAACCATTTGGAACATGATCTTGGCCCACATTTAATTCACGGTCCGGTCCCGAGAATTCAATTGTGTGGGCCGAGACGGAAAAAATGGCCCTAAAAACTTTATGTCTAATGACCTAATAAATTAAAATATTCAAACTAATTATATTTAAATGAAATTAACGTAATATTATGATAAAAATTTTACTCCGTAATAATTATTAAAAACAATACAAGTTTTAAATTAAGACTAAATTTGAAATAGTGTAAAATAAATGTAAAAACATATTTTTTTCATATCAAATGAAGAACACATTGAATTATCATTCATAGCAAAGATTATTAATTAACAAAATAACAATTAACAGTTAATCCTAGATTTACTTAACAAAATAACAATTAAATGAAAAATGAATATGAATTAACAAAATAATAATTAACCCTAGGTTCAATTTTAATTTACTCCAAGATTGAAGAATGGATATGAACTATATAATGAATACCTCAAAACTAAACTCCTAATCTTTTTGAATACTCTAAAGAAATGAAGAATCCATTACTGACATGAAATTTCTAAAAAAATATATAAAAATTGATTTCCAACTATGAAATCACAAATGATTTACGCTATAAAACAACTACAAGTTAAACATTAAAAATACTCATCAATTATGCAGTGTACAAAACAAACCAAATGCATAGAAAAATAAATGCAAAATAAATCAAATATTTCAGATTCAAACTTAAAGATAAAGACTTAGCGCTCTCGGGATGCTATTTTGGGCGAAATATGAACTTAAGGTCTGGAATCGAATTGCAGACGTGGGTGGGGCCGCCACTGCTCTCTGGGTGGTGTTAATCTGGAGCGTAGAGTGTTGGCCGGGAGGAGGAGGGTGGGTGGCGAGATAAAACGCAGAATGCTGGACTTAGACTCTTGAACGTACGACACAGCAGGAAGATGACCGCAAAGTTTTGAAAAAGTGGCGGTGGAGCTGTGTTTTAATGGATGAGGCTCATGCTTTGAAGAAGCATAAAAATAGCTACAGGTGGAAAAAACAAACTTATTAATGTCTGTGGCACGAAATGCAAACCAACAACGAAACGCCTGATGAAGGTTACAGCAGGGACACGTACCACACTGCAGAATGGTTTGCATGAACTAACTGTGCATGGTCAATAATGCTGGAGTTTATATATATGATGCCTGATGATCTATTTGATCGAAACAAGAGATGTTGATTTGAAAAAAAAAAAAAAGTTTTTAATTAATAATGCCGAAGATAAGTGGAGAATGAGGGAGATTTGTCGTCAGTCAAGTACTCTATCGTCTCTATGGGAGAGACATATTATTGTCCTCACTGTTACTTAACACTTCGTCGTCTGCTACCTCATTAACCTATTCATATATCCGCGCGCGGGACAAAAGAAACAAAGAAGCAAGTAAAAGAACATGTGTATTTGGGCAAGCTTGGTTCAAACACTTTTATATATACATACACACACACACAGAGAGAGAGAGAGATTGAAAATGAATGGCATATCATAGAATAAAACCTTCACTTTTTTGATCGGGAACCGATGGAATGGGAGTTTCCCCCTCATTCCAACCTTGAACTCCATGTTTAGATGGGTTCCTCCAAGAAAAACCTTTGGGCACTTCTTTTGCTGCCATTGACACCTCCTACACTGTGCTCTACAGCCTCTCTTCTTCTCTTTTCCCTTTCTCTTTTGGATTTTCTCTCCCTTTCTTCTTTTTTGTTTCCAGGCAAATTAAAACAATATTACCAGAGAGAGAGATAGATAGATAGATAGATAGAGAGAGAGACTATTAATGTAATCTCAATTTTTCATAAGCATTACAGAGCTGATGAGGGAACCTCGTTTACAGAAGAGAAATCAGAACACAGAACAGTACATCCGTTTAAGAACATAAAAGGAAACAAACTTTGACCACTCTTTGTCTATTTTGGTGAATAAGCCCTCTTTTTAATATATCTTTCTCCAGATAGATTTGACTTCTCCCTGCGTATGTATATTGCCCTTGTTTAGAGATCAGAAGAGCACATTTCCCATGCATAATGATTACTTTTCTCTCAAACTAAAACAATCCCTACTTGGTTGTAAGTAGTCCTAGCTGGGTGCAGTGGAGATTGAAATATTACCCTTTTCCGCTCTCAAATTAAATTTAATACGGAGTATACTTTTTTTCCCATTTTCTGATAAAATAATACTCTCCCTCTTATAAAATATTTCTTGTTTTTTTGAGTCGGGTCGGGTCGGGTAAAATACTAAACCCACACCCGACCCGATCCGATGTCGGGTTCGGGTAAAAAATTTCGGGTCGGGTTCGGATTATTTTATTCTCGGTTCGGGTTCGGATATTTTAGTGGTCGGTCGGGTCAGTTAAGCTCGGGTTCGAGTTGAATTGCCATTCCTAAGTTTTACTAGTAAAAATAGAAATGAAAACAATATGCCCACCGAGAGCTCCTTTTAGAAACTCCGAGCAGTTTCTTAAACACTTGGTTCGGAGATCACTGAAAAGGGTTGGAAACCACACCCCTGAGTAGTAGGCATCATGTCAATGGGTTGGTATAGACCCAAACCCGTAAAATAATCATTATTTTTTAACGGGTTTAGGAGTATAAAAAATACCATTTAGCCATACTCGAACTTGAACCCGTTATTTAAAAAAATAATAGGTCGGGTGTAGCACGAGTAGTCCTGACCCATTTAAGACCCGTACCGGTTAAATAAAGAGATAATATTAAGTATTACAAAACTCTACCCTTATTTTTCACTGGTTGCGTGACTTACTAATCTATTTGTATATTTTTACCATATTAAAGACATATATACGTTAGTTTATGAAATAGTATAAAATAAATAATTTGGAATTAGCTGTAATGTTATGAAGAACATCTTTAATTGTAATATGAATGAATTGAATGTGACAAGAAGGCTGATTATGAATTCAAGATATTTTTGTAGACTTTTGGTAAAGAAGACTGATTTTTGTTGCAGTAACGTATTAGTGTTATTTTCATTTGTATTCAATTAGAAAAAATTTCATTCAATGTATTTTCTGTAATACCCTAATCCGTCCAGGTCTGCAACTTTTTTCAAATTAAAATATTAACTTAGAAACGATAAAATATTTAAAACATTTCAAATTTTATTTCTTCATAATAAAATGTTCATTACACTAATGGAGTTCATAAAATTTGCAAAAGCTTTAAATAATTGTTTCACATCACAATCATTAAATATAAATAATTCATTTTTAAAATATTTATTCAAAAGTTGGAATCATCACACATACGTCTGACATCTCATCCCCATCTGCCATCAGGTTCATGGTCAAATCATTCCTTATTTTGTTTACGTGCTTATAGTAAATAAAACATACTGCACACTCAACGATTAGTTGAGTGAGAATATCTTAAACACCGGACGTCCATATAAATTGAATCAAAATTCATAACCAAAGCATTTGATATCATACACATAATATACATTTCAATATTTCAACATTTATGGTATCAACAGTTCTATTAAAGTATTCTTAGTTTAAGGTTAAATCATAATAGTGCGCTTAAACAAATTTATAACTCTTTTATAAATTCTAAGAATGCAGTAGTTATTTAAATAATGAAAGTTGAATATTACAAGTACATTTAATATTCTGACGGTTTCAAAAAACGATGAGATAAAGAATCGTAAAGAAACCTCGAAGGAACTTATAAATCACTCACCTAATAAAACTAATTATAATTGTAACACTCCAACTCGCGTAACTCGAACCAAGGAGTTAACGAACTGGGTTGTTACTAAATTGGTATTCACGGCACAACAAATTAGATAGATCACCTAAGAACATCCAATAACATCCAAATACCAAGTTAAATACGAAACTTTCGGAGTAAAGTCCAACATATGCGGAAGCCTTAGAAAAACGTTGTACAATCAATGTTTAAACCAAATAATTAATAAACACAATAATTAATTGTTCATAATAAAAATGGTGATGTCATCCACTGCGCCGCGTATCAACATCCTCCGGGTTGGCCCTCCTGATTTGAATCCATACCTGCGTGCAGTCAAAGACAACAAGACTACGCGTTCAGCTGAAAGCTGAGTAAGAAAAATATCTAACGCTAGAATTAATTTCAATGATAGTATCGCATTTATATAATCAGCAACATCAGCGAACAACCAACATTTATTTTCAGGTACAAGAATCCAACAGTTCCAATTGATTTATTCACAATGGGCTAATACTGCACCTACACCACTAAAGCTTAATTCAACAGACTAGAGTTACGAACACTCGAGAAAATCCCTCGAGGCCGATGCTTGGGCAAACCCAAAGAAAATCCTCAATGGGCGAGTTGGGGTCCCTACCAAGGAATTCCTTAAGTAGGATAGTGACTCTCGAACGTACGTTTTGAACCATAGACCATTGGATATACAAACATGCTCCACAAGGCCCCGAACCTAACAATAGTTCTATTGGTGATTAAGCTATCCAATTCAGTTCAGATCCGCCTAGATGTACTAGGTGGTCAATTTCCATCAGAGTTCTCAAGTGACAATAAGTACTTAAACATTTCCATAAACAGAATAATACACTCAGCAGCCTATCGAGAGAATCACCTCTCACCAATTACCGTCATGCTCATACAACAAGGTTAAATCCAACAATATTTAGATAACTTACTTGTGTTGCAAACTCGGGACTAAAGACTTCATCCTCAGGCCCGCTGCACCCGTCGTAATAGTACCAAGTACCAGCGAATCAGTCCGACTAACCGCCAGACCGACCCGGCAGCCCCAACCCAAACAGTTCTTTAAATATACAAATGACAGCAGTATTATTAGTAGCATTATCAAAACTAAATGCAAACACTTTATCAAGTAAATTGTAATCTTTCAAAATACACTCAAGCAAAAAAACAATATTATAACTCATGTGAGATTTATTGAAATCGCAAAATGCAAGAACACGATTATACATTACCCAATCTCGAGTGTCGTAGGAAAGGACGAGACAAAGTAAAATTTAAAAGAAAACGTGTATTTAAAGGAAACCCCCACCCCCACAAATTATTTGTTGGCTGGGTAAAAAATTTTAAAAACATAACTGGAATCAAACCGGAACCGGCAGTTCCGACAACGTCCATTTAAGACTCGAAACCAGACCTGTGTCCATCAATTCTGGGTTCGATTCCCCTACCCAACCCATCGTCTTCGTTGCTGGAATTTTGTCCACCCCTACCCTTGAGAGGGGAAGGGAAGTGAAAGTAAAAAAAGAAAAGCTAATGTGGCGTTGAGTTGGTGCACCCAGACTGTATCAGAGATGATCATGATATTTTCCACATCTAGAATTTGTAAAAAGAGCATTATGAACATTCAATGAGGAAGGAGTGGTAGAATCTCCAAGTTTTAATTTTTCTTTTCAAGAGTAAGATTCAAGTCTTCTAAGAGCAACTAGGCAAAAACTTGATTAAGAGTCACAAATCCAATATTTATGTGTATGTTTTGTTTTAGAGGAGCGTTATCCACACGGAGACCAATTGGACCGACGGGGCCTACATACCAAACTAATCCATAATAGCTCTCTGTAGTAATGATGTGTTCCATAGTCGTGGTTTTCCTGCTTGGCCAATATTTTGGAACAAGGCTCGCTGTTCCCACTTCAAGGGTAGGATCATAGCTTCGTGTTCTCACCGTGCGCAAATCCATAGCTCTCATTCCAGCTTTCTTTGGACCTCTTGGAAATCATCATTAGGAAGAACTTTGGTCCCATCTGAAACGAATTGTAGGGGAGATGTTCTTTCTTCAATGATGTCGTCGATTTGATTGAGAGTTGGGTTCCCATATCTCCCCAGGTTGTTTTGCCGCATATTTTCAAGAACTTTGTATCTTGGGTCGTTAGCAATTTTTGGGTATAGGAATTCATCTTGAGGAAAATCTTCTACTGATAATTCAGTTTCAACAGATTGTGTCGCATCATTAGCAAAAAAACAGTAGTTTGTGGGTCTAAGACCACTGGTTCTTCGTTTCTAGAATGGTTTCTTCTTCCACACCTTCTTCCTGATCCAATGTGATGGACAGAGCTTCTGTTGATATTCTCAGTTCTCCCATAATGAGAGTAGCCTCTGTTAGTGGTTCCTGAACCTGCAAGCTAACATTAGGAATTGTGGTTTTCTGTCACAGCCATCTATGCAAGAGAATCCTTAACCGCTGGTTTGGGACTGGTATGAGAGTGAGATGTAACATATTTTGGGGTGGTAGCTTCCGTATAGTCCTCTTTTGGAGCATCAACATTTGAAGTTAAGTCTATTGGTTTGGTAGCCACTGTAGGACCTCCATTTGAAGTAGCAACTGAATACTCACTAGTCGAAACAACATCAGTATCTTCTTTTCTGACTAGAGGATTTGGAGTAGTAGCATCTTTTGTATCAACAATTGTTTCTTCCCTAGTCTTTGTCACATTTGAGACTGCTGCCTCACTAGGATCTCGCGTATCTTTGTCACATGAGGATGGGTTTTTTTAAATCAGCATTGTCTCCAAGAAATCTGCTAGAGTCTGGGTTGCTTAGAATCTGTATCTCTTCATCAACAGCTTTCTCCTCGTCTAAATCTGCGGTTTTGAGAGCTAGTGTTGTCGCTTCAGCTTCGCCTACTATGACAAAAGAAACTTGGTTTTCAGAATGATTTTCAGCAACATTTCCAGTGGCTAGGTCAGGGACATTTTTTGAAAACTGATGAGACGAACCAACAGCCTTCGAAAATGCTAGGACATCTTTTGATTTTCTTCGAATCCATCTGGAGCAAAAAACTTTCTTCATACAGCTTTTATGACCATATCTTCTACAAGTGGAGCAAAAATCAGGTAAATCTTCATAATGAATGGGTTGCAAGAATGACAATGACCCAAGTGCAACCAAACCGAATGTGGGAGATCTTTTGAAAGATCAATTTCCACACATACCCGAGCAACTCTGGGTCTGAAAAGATGTGAAGTTGCAGTATCAGCTTTGAAAGGTTTCCCTATTAGGTTTGCAATTGAGAACAGGGAGACTATGTCGAAAAGATGGATTGGAAATCCTTCAAGGCCAATCCATACTGGAATGTCAGGTGATTCCACACTGGGATCGAATTCAGGGGTCCAACGAAAATCATCTGCACTATACCCATCGGTTTTCCAACATTTTCTTAGAAGGTAGCCTATGAAATCATCATAGGATGTGAAATGGATCAAGATATGCCTACCATCAAGCAAAGATACAGAGAAGGAAGAAGAGAATCCAATTCTATCCAAAACCAGAGTCCCATGGGTACAGCTTACTGATTCATGAAGAACTTGACAGAGGGCTATCTAGCTCGCTCACAGTAGGTGGTCTGCCCTGCCGACAAATTCCACGTCCCTTGGGTGATAAATCTTGTAACAAAGATTACATTCCTCACCTCCTCCTACAGTAGCAACAATATATAACACACAATTACGTCAAATGTAAACAGGTCAGTGACAATAATATATAAGCACGAGTGATTGAAAACTGGATGGCAAGTGAAAAATTTATCAGCAAGAAAACGGACCATGAAAACATAAAGAAACCCCAACCAATGAAGCATTGACAGACATAATATAATACCAGTTTCAGGAGAATCAGTCCCCAGGCTGTAGCAACGTGTATCTATCAATCCATGCCAACTAACCACCCTTTCAGCAAAAAAGAGCTCTGGAGGAGCAGCAGGCTCGTCTTTTGGTCGGGCCATGAAGTTGAGATGGTGCACAAATCCGCACTTAAGGGCAAAGGCTTGCAATTTCATTGTCTTCACAAGAACGTATCTGGGAAGCTGCTGGAAAGAAAGTAAAGATCAACAATAAATCAAATACACATCCTACAAAATAACTATTCCAAGAAGAATGGTTAGAATGAGAGAAACAAACCCCACACTGTTGGCGGCCCTTATTGTACCAGTTCAAGGCTTTTGTTGCCTCTGCACGAAGTTGGCGCTGCTTTTCCTTTTGATGGTCCTTAAGACGTTGACCGGTCAGAGGAGGAGGTCCGCGAAAAAGACCTCGGGCAGGGAGCACTGTCGGTCTAGAAATTAGGAACAAGGAAATATTAGGCCCCACGGGATCTTAAAATAAGTTGCTCTCTCAGCTCTTTTTAAGTGTTCTATGAGTGCTGAAACATAGAACTGAACAATAAGCCTACATATGTTGTTAGATCAATCAATTGAATGAGTGAATGACTAAAGCTAATCTGTTGCTTTGATTTATATTTGGGGGGGAGTTCAACAATAAAAGAACTATCCATATAACCTCCAATCTTAACATCCTCTTAAAGCATAAAATAAACAGAAGATGTAGTAGCAAGCAGGAGAAACTCAAACAGCAAATATTTAACACATGAAAGCAGCATATTATTATTATTATTATTATTATTATTGCATAGCTAATAAAGAGAGTTGCATGCACATACTCATCTTCAGGTTTTTTTCCTATAGCTGTCTCCACCTTTTGAGCTTTGGAAACCCTAACATAACATTCAGCCAAAATCACATGGATCAGTAAGGGAATGACTGATTTTTTCAACTCATTTAAGTGTTCTATGAGTGATGAAACATAAAAAACCAAACAATAAGCCCATGTGTTGTTTGATCAAACAATTGAGTGACCACAATATCAAATATAAGTGGGTGGAGCATTGATGTGGCCAGCTATAATAGAGTGTACCCACCCTGTCTCTTCTTCTCTCCATGTGGGGCTTTGTTTTCTAGACCAGCTCACTCCAGCGTGCTTATGGCTTAAGCTAATTTGTTGCTTTTATTAATATTTGGGGGGAAGGCAACAATAATAGAACCATCCATACTTGGAAACAACCGATGCAAAACCTTTTTTTTTGAAGAATTTTTGCATCGGTTCTTTAGAAATCAACAATGCAAAAGCCTTTTACTTACAATTAAAAAAGAGGTTTTGCATCGATACTGATGCAATTGCTCTAGGAAGCAATTACATCGCTCGGTTATGCATCGGTCAAAAACCAATGCACAATGTCTTAAACAACCCATGCAATTGCCCTAAATTGTAGTAGTGCAACCACCAATCTCAATGTCCTCTTCCAGCATAAAATAAACAGAAAGATAGATACTGGAGTAGCAAAAAGACGAAACTCAAACCACACACATCTAACGCATAAAAGCAGCAGATTATTATTGAGTAGCTAATATAAGAATTGCTTGCACATACTCATCTTTAAGTTTTCTGCCTGTAGCTGTCCCCTTCTTTTGAGCTTTGGAAACCCTAACATATCATGGTGTTGGATCAATCAATTGAGTGACCATGATATCAAATAGAAGAAACTCAAACAATAAATATTTAACACATGAAAGCAGCATATTATCATTATCATTATTATTATTATTAATGTAGTAGCTAATAAAGAGAAATGCTTTGCTCATACTCATCTTCGAAATTAGGAATTTGTAAACCCTGACATAACATCTAAGTAGGAGAAAGGGAGTGTAATGAAATTACGGGGAACATCTAGTGCGTGAGGCAATGTAAACCCTTCTGGAACGCAAATTGTAGACTTCCTTTGTTTTCCCGATCGTCGTCTCCATCTCCGACTCCATCTCCTTCTCTATATCTATCGCTTATTTCTCTCTAGTTTTGTTGATTTTGTCCGGCCAATTCTTGTTTGGGTTTCAACTTTGAGTTTCGGTGGAATACAAATCGGTAATATGCCACAAATAAAAGTTTTGGAGTGCGCATTATGACCCAAGGGCCCAAGGGTAATGGCCACTTGTTTGGATCCTGGCAGTTGGCTATTGGCTGTTGGCTGTTTATGTTAGTTGGTTTGAATGGCTGATTGAGTTAGTTGTTTTGACGGCTATTTCTGTTAGCTGTTAAATTTTAAGTGTTTGACAACCTTAGCTGTTTATAATTAGCTGTTTGTAAGTAAAATTACATAAAAGGACATCCCTCCATTTATGTTAATTTGTATGCAATTTTTAATTTTTCTTTAATTTTCATAAAATACGTACATTATACAAGCAAATACTCTGGACATCCCATGCCAACATCTTTTTTTTGGACAAAAAAGGCTACTTCATTTTTTTTATAATTTAAGAAATGAAAATTTACATTTATATTTTATGAGTAGACTTTTTTTGTATTTATATCATTTGTCATTCTACAAATAACCACCGTGCATGGTATATTTTATTTTATAGTTTTTTTAAAAGGAGCCATAATCTAACACTAAATAAAATTTAAGGTTAAAAGTTTAGATAAAATTTACAAGTATATTGATTGATACATATAACTTCATTTGTTTGATTCATATACAATTTCAAATCAGTTTGGATCTAGGTTATTTGTTTTGTGATTTATTTGAAAACTAAAACTAGACAACAAAAAGTAGAACAAGGAGAAGCAAAAAAAACAGAAATGCAACAAAGAGAAGTTTGGGAACAGAAACGCAAAAAAAAAACAAAAAATTCAAGAGCAGTCCACCACAAAAACATAAACGCAACAAAGAGGAGCAGATTCACAGCAAAAAAAGGAGAATCGCATAAAAAACAGTCTCACATCATAGAGAAGCAAAATCGCAGCAGCAAAAAAAAAATCGCAACAAAAAAACCCTAATCGCAGATGGCCTTGAAGATGTATAAATTTCAAATATTTAGATGTAAAAAATAATGAAAATATACATACCTGGTGTCTTCAGGAGGGAAATCGTAAAGAGAAAGAGAGAAACTTCCGGTTCCGAACCGTGAAAAAAATCGCAGAGAGAGACGCAGCAGATGGCTTAAGAAAATCGAAAAAAAAGAAGGGTAAGAAACGGAACTTCTGAACGAAACGCTGCTATGGGTAGCGTTTCAATTTTTGGCAGTTGGGTTCCAAATGCCAATTCCAAATGCTATCATCCAAACAATTAATTTGGCGGTTTGACCTGTTCAATCTGCCATTTACCAAACAAGGCCAATATCTAAATCTTCTAAGGTGGGCTGGGCTCAAAATCAAAGAAAAAGCATGATGAATTGTGGGCTTGGGTGAATTTTTTCGCAACTCTACCCAATTAAAAACAATGAGAATTTACTTAAATACTACTACTCCGGTAATATATAGTGACTTATTCAATGTAATATTATATGTTTTTATTTTCTAATGTAGTACAATTGTTTATTGTGTACTCGTCATTATTCAAGTAAATGTCTAATGCCACTAGACATTGTTCAAATTAAATGTCTACCCTCACTGAATATGGTAATTGCCATTAGATACTATTCAAATACTATTTTAAAAAATAAAAAATTTTAAATACTACATTGGAAATGAAATATATTTTAATACGGACTACGGAGTACTAAAATACTAAAAACAATACTTTGCATAGAAAAAGATTTTAGCTCATCATTACTTAAACATAATACAACAATACTTTTCTTATTGGGTCCCAATTTTTTTTAAATTTTTTTTGGTTGTTCTTATTAATCTTTTTATTCTTTCTTAAAAAAAAGATTTTGATACACATTTTTTCTCTTTTCTTTACATCACCTTTAATTGTATAATTTCATTTTTCTTAAATTTTGTACAAAATCAAATAAAGAACTTGAAATTGGAAGGGAGGGAGTAGAAAGTTGAGGGGATCGGAAAAATATCTAATCAAAAATATCTCACTTAGAGCTTCACCCAAACCATAATGAGAAATCAGTAAACCACCCTTAAACATCTATACGGATCGGAATAATGAGTCCAAATCTATAATGAAATTTTGTGTTTGGAATCCAGAAAATATAATAAATCTATATAAGATCAACATGTACAGAGGAGGTAGTGGAATCAAGAGAAGCCCGGCAGAGGGGACAACTGGAACGGTTCACAAGCCAAGCATCTACGCATCCGCCGTGGAACACATGGGCGCACTCCGGCATAACCTTAACCGTCTCCGAGTCCTCGAACGTCCCCAGACATATCGAGCACTCGTTCCTCCCCACCATCTCCAGAGACCCGTACCTTGCTTCCGGGAGGTTCTTCACCGCCTCCTCGTCCAGTCCCTTGTCCCCTGCCGCCTCCGCCGCGGTGGTAGGAGGAGACGAGGACTCGCCCCGCCGCCTCCTGCCGCCGCGGAGGAAGCAGTAGAAGAAGAGGAGGGCGAGGAGGAGGAGGAGGAGGAGGAGGGAGAAGAAGATGAGGAAGAAGAAGAGGACGCCGGGGTCCCTTAGGCTGGAGGTGAATGCAGTTAGGTCTATCCTCCACCAGTTTGGCGGGGTCTCTGCCTCTCTTGGTAAGGCCATGGCCGGACGCCCTTAATTAATTTTTAGATCTTTTGTTTTGTTCTTTTTTCGGCAATAAATAATGCAGAAATGAAATGAAGAGATGATCGAGAGCTGTAATTAATAAGTGTGTACATGGAAATTTAATTAAATCTCTATTTTCAGTACCCATCCCTTCTGCGCCATTATATATATACACTCTCAAAGTATGTCCATGAGAGTCCAAAGTCTCATATCAAGTGGACTATAAGGTCTATGATTGGTTCTCATTTAATTCAAATTAAATAAGTTTTGATCTAATCAGATCAAATCAGAATATAATTATATTTAAAGTTATTTTTTGTCTCATTTGATTTGATCTGATATATATATCGTATAAAAAAACAAAAGTTTTCTCATTTCTATTAAAAGTGATTTTTACCTCTGCTAAGTATGACCTACTTATCACACCACATCTATTTACTATTAATCTGATCTACTCATCAAATCTTATTTTTACACATCACATCCAAAGATATTTTTAGAAACACAACATCAAAATATACTTTTCTTAAATCGTTTAAAAATTAAAACTTCTCATTTTTTAAAGAACGGAATAAGTATTTAGCTACAAAATTTTTAAATTAAGTTATACTATAAGATTTTTATGCTAAATGCGAATACTATTTGTTTTCATATTAGGCCAACATCAATAGTTTGCCTCGACCAATTAAGACGAAACGCCCAACATCATAATTAGTTAATTACCTTCATATGTTATTAGTACACAATTTACTGATTTAGTATGAAGAGGCACATATATTGGAGCTGCAGTTTGGTCAAAGAAAAGGTGCCACTTGAGGGGTTAATTAATTACGTGACTTGTCATGGATCGTAGGTGCCAATTATGTGTACAAGTTCATCTGTAGCTACTCTGTGTTTTATTTTTAGCTACTACATACACAAAGGCATCACCTTGCCCACCTTGGTTGGTATGTACCTGCATATTGTTATGCCACTATTTCATGCAATTCATTTCTCAAGAGTGGTTGATTTTATCATTTTGTAGCTACACTGGCCAACTCTTTATCAGTTGTGCATTTTCTTGCCTTGTTGCTTTCCATCTTTTCCACGCGCCACTATTGCTCATGCTCACTAGTCATTATAACAAAAACGATAATAGCGGTGAGAGTAACTCAACTGGTTGATATCGAGTGTCATTAAAAAGATAAATTTGTTTTGAGTTTGACTTCTGATCTCTATCGCAACTTTCATACAAAACATGGGATTTCGTGCAAGTACCATGATGGGAATACGGCCAAATAGCTTCAGTCAGGGTCGGTCCTAAGGATTCATCAGTCTGGGCCGAAACAGAAAAAAGGACCTAAAAGTCTTATCTTTAATGGTCTAAAAAAGTTCACATATGTAAACTAATTATATTTAAATTATAATTAACGCAATATTATTAGACAAAAATAAATGACAAGTAACACAAGTATAAATAAATAAATATATCGTAAATTAATATCAATTCGTCAATATTTCTTTTTTAGTTGCTTTTTTCTTTTTCAGCTTTAATTTTTTTATAAATCATAAATTCATATTAATTCATCAATTTATTAGTTTTTAATTTTTTTTTTTGGTTTTCATTTTTTTAAATATAAATACTCCCTCCATCCCAAAAAAATGGGACGGTTTGACTTTTTGGGAAATTAAGAGAAGGATATTTTGGTATTGACTTTCCAAAAATACCCTTGATGTGATGGGTAAAAGTAGGATGTGATGGGTAGATTATTAGGAAAAGGGTATGATGTGATAGGTAGGGTATGAAAAAGTAAGAGGTAAAAGTGGTTTTTTAATAGAAATGTAACGGACTTTACGGGACGCAGTTTTTTCTAAACGTAACAAACTTTTTGGGACGGAGGGAGTATATAATTATCATAAATAACAAATTCAAATCAATTCATCCAAATCAAATAAATAACATATATTTTCAAAATTTATTTCTAAAGTTCTCGCGCGTGGTTTTAAAACATTACACTCACACCCAATCTGATCATTTTATGGTCATTTTCCAGCGAAGAAATTAGCACCAGTGCCCATATAAATTGGAAAATATGCTAATTTTCCAAAACAGAAGAGATACTGAAGCCAGGGCCGGCCCAATAGGGGGACAAGGTGTCAGTTCGGGCCGGGCCCAAAAAATTTAGGGGCACAAAATTTTGTTTTTAAGTATTATATACGGAGTATATGTGTGTGTATATAAGCCGAGACCCGATCCCATGACCCATCCCTTAAGTTAACCCACTGCCCTACTAGCTCCATGTGTATGTTGTAGACAAAAAAAACGAAATGGAAGAAAAGAGTCCATACGCCCAGTTGTCGATCGAAGAAACCAGAAAGCAATCCTTAGGACTGGCCCTGAAAATAATTATGGGCCCTTTTGTGAAATGGGCCCTAGGCCACAACCCCCATGCCTACCTACCCCCAGGGCCAGCCCTGGGTGGGGTTACCGTGGGGCAAATAGAGCACTCTAGAGGAACAATGCTCCCTCTGGTCATTCAAAGTGCAGTGAGTCTGTCATAGAACAAAAAGATCAAAATTAACTCAAAAATATCATATTGAAAGAACACTTCACGACGACAATAATACTACCTACGCTTCCATGTATTTATCCAATTTGACTCGACAAAAAAACATTAAACTTCAATTATTGTCAATCTCTATTAGACATTAGTACAATAAAATAAAATTTTAGAAGATTTGAACAAGATCCAATAATATTATTTTTATAATAGTACACATTATATTTTACTTTAATTGATACTCAAATTTCATTTTATTCGACTTAAAAAGTCAACTTCTGAAAAAGAGTAATACTCCGTATATAGCAATGTTTCTTTAGTTCTTTATTATGCATTTTTGACTATATTCTTATGGTGTAATAATATTGTGAACTACGTAGTACTCCACAGTAAATTTAGCCTATATAGTAGACCTACAAAGAGGGCAGTTTGACCGGGCAGTCAACCACCGAACAATACACTGAGAATGGAAAACATGCATGCACTCCGGCATCACTCTAACCACCTCCTTCTCCTCAAACACTCCCAAACATATGCAGCACTCCTCTCCCCCGAACCTCCTCGCCGCCCCCGTCCCACCGGCGGCATCCGGCGGCCTCCCCTGACCGAAAACCGGCGGGCGGGTCCCGGCGGTCACCTCCTCAAGACCAACAACCACCCCAGACCATGACCGTTCGCGAGACGGCAGAGCTGCACCCGCAGTAAAAGAGACTGTTCCATTACTGCGGATGCTCGTCTGCTGCTGCCGTCTCGCTGCAGTTGGGTCGGCACTGGGTATGGTGACATCATCGTCGTCTTCGTCGGGGAATAAGGCGATTTGGTTGCGAATGTAACGGATGAAGAGGAAGACGAAGAGGAGAAAGGAGAGGAGGAAGATGAAGAAGGTGATGAAGAATAGTTTGACGCTACGGGCTGTTATGTACCAATGGAATGGCTCCACTTCCTCCACCTCCATATCTCAGCTCGATCGATCACATGCAACGTAAAACAATTTTAATAATATTTGAGTAAATAATTTGATGAAATAAATACAGAGTACTCGGTATATACTAGTCATGCAATAATGGCTAGCTAGCTCTTACTTATATATATGTACCTAATTACTTATTTTCTCCTTTCACTTGGGTGTGCATGTTTGTCGAGTTTGTTTTTTTAATGAAACTTTAATTATTTAAATAAAAATATGTGACATCATATATTAATTCAGGAATGATTTGATTAGATTCATCTGGTAAAGCATTTTAAGAACATATTTTATTATGTTAATATACAATTTAAAATTCCCTCCATCCCAAGAAACTTTTTTTTTACTTTCTTTTTACACCAATCCAAAAAAAATTCTCAATTCATTTAAAAAAATCACTTTTATCACTAATGATTCTTAACCTACATATCATCTCTCATATATTCAGTTTTAATTTACCCATCAAATACTACTTTTATCCATCATATCTAAGTACATTTTGGAAGCTCAACACCAAAATACACTCATTTAAATTAAATCCCTTAAATATCAAAATCTCTCATGTTTCCAGAGACGGAGGGAGCAATTGAAGTGGCTTACACATCTAAATTCCCGAATTATTAATATATAATTTCTATAATTTTTAATATACAAATTACAAGATAAAATAGATTAAAAAAATGTTTTAAATGATATGTTAAAATGAGAGAAGACAAATACTCTGGAACTGAGTTAGTATTTCACAATGCTCTTGAAATGCGCACGGGGACGACGCAACATATTGGTTAGTTATTTACTTGCCACATAGGGGTAGTAAAGCCAAGATTCAAAATGTGGACCCCCCTTAAGATCTCTGTTGGGCTTCTTCATGCGACGTTGGCCCACTTTGGAACGTTTTGCACATGTTTCGGATTTGGTTATTAAAATCGATAAAAGAGGATAAATTAATATTGGATCGTAGTTTCAGTTCAAAGTGCAGCAGTGGAGAAAAGAAAAGGTCGACTTGGAAAAACAAAATGGAAAGTGGGCCGAGTGCTTTCTTTGCCATTTTTCCCTCCCCTATGCAACGAATCCCTACAATTTTATTTGTAATTTAAACTAGACTCGTACACGGGGAATAAAAAAACTCAAATAACTCTTGAGTTGGAATAACATAAAATGTTAAAAAAAATAAAGAGATTACAAATTTTATGATAATTGCCCAAATTAAATAATGTAGTGTACAGTAACGCCATTAGTCGAAATGCAGTGTTATAAGTTTTGGAACACTTCTTTATAAATTATATTCGTAGTTTTGTTCGTTGAAGGAAGGCCTTTATTCCATATTAAGATTTTTAACCATTAACGACTTGTAACACGTGAAATTGCAACATAGAAAAAAAGATTGAATGAACATACCATTCGTTAAGTTCAGTAATGGTGATGGAGTGAACATATCTTGCATGGATGATGTTTTTAGTGGATGCAAGAGAGAGTTTGTCCTCGAATTTACTCCAACAAAACTTGTTGAATTGATGTGTAATTATCTTTTGAAATTTTGGGTCTTCTATTTTCTATTCAAATAATTTTCGAGATATGTCATAAATATAAATTTTGAAGTGCATATTAATGATTTTACACTTAAATAGAATCAAATAAAAAGAAATAGAAGAGTAGTAATACATTGAACAATGTGTCAATGAATAGGTAATGTTATGAAATAGCAATTTTATAACAAAAACCAATATTGGTCATAATCATAATATGAATAGTATTGACATTTCTTATAGATTACATGTTGAAAGTTTTTAAAAATTGTTCTACCATTATAGAACCGTACAATACAAAAGTAACAACATTAATTATCTTAAGAACATATTGATAATTGCTACTCCCTCCTTCCGGAAATATTACTATATAAAAACAATATCTATGAAATTTTTTCAAACCTTATTTTGTGTACTGTTTTATATTACATACTCCGTATTAAAAAGCATATATTCTTTTTTATACATGTATCGATATGTTGATGGTTACTTTTCTTTTCACCATAAAGTCACGGATATGATCTCAATACCTGGAGAAGTCAAGCCGGATGAACAAAAGACTACCGGAAATGGGTGTATGAAACTTGGATGTAAGATAACTTGGCTTTGTTTGTGGTGAATCTTGCACGGAGTATTAATGTATAAATAGCAGGTTTAATGAGACACCTCACTCTAATGCATTAATTGTCCAAGTCCTTTAAAGATTTCACAATCTCAACATTTAATGTTGAATGGGACATAAAGTAATTTTTACATAAAAGTAGTGCTTGGTTTGATGGCTGCCGTGCCCACAGTATAAAGCTTTTCTTGAACAAAGCAATATCTTTTACTTTATTGAATAGGTAGCTATATCTCTTGAGCAACACACCAAATATTTCTTGAATAATGCACCGATTTTTTTGAGCAACCCACCAAATATTTCTAGAGCAGCGCACCAAATTTTGATTTGCCATCACTTTTTATTTAGACACAAATAGACAGACCCATATTCGAGTAGTCAGCCCATCGCCAGCCAGGCCCATCCGAGAAGGCAGCTCCATCATTTAGGCGGGAACACTGTTCATAACCTCCTCTTACCATTGTATATAGGAGGATTGAGAATGTTAAAACAAAAAGTGAGTTCTTCAAATTTAATACTCCCTCCGTCCCGTGAAATCTTTCCCCTTTCTTTTTTTATCCGTCCCACAAAACATTTCTCATTTCTATTAAAAAGTCACTTTTACCCCTTACTTTTTCATACCCTAACTATCATATCATACCCTTTTACTAATAATCTATCCATCAAATCATACTTTTACCCATTACATCAAAGGACATTTTTGGAAATTCAATACCAAAATACACTCCCTTAAATCCCTTCTAAAAAGCAAATGTCCCATGTTTCACACGGAGGGAGTATCTAGAGAGAAAGATTAATGAAATGTGATCTATATACTTCATTTTTATGAAAACTAACTAACTAAAGAATGAAAGCGTGGAATTTTTTTTGGACGGATGGAAAAAATGTTTAAAATCATAGAATTTTCAATTTTCACACTGCATCTGCATGATTCAATTAACAACTCAAAAATAAAAAAGTAGCAATTTTGATTGTACAAAAAAAGAATTGTTTTCTTTAGGAACTTGTTTGTTTTAAAATTGAAACTAGTGCATCACTTGTGCGATGCACGGAACAAAAAAACTTATTTTAATTACGAAAAAATATGAAAACTTTGGTAAGTGGATCTTATTTAACATCAATCATACATTCTCAAAGACGTCTTTATAAACTACATTCATTGTATAGTGTTAGATGGAGTAATTTCATAATTATGTATCATTATTTTTAATCCTCTCGCGAGACAGTATGATCAATTTTGATTCTGCATATACAACACATAGTAAATAGTTGTTACAAAAATGTATGAGAGATACATTAATTTACACGTCTACTTGTTTGATTTAATCTTTTTGTTGACCTTGTTCGACGTATCATAAATATACCATTACGCGAACCCATGAATTTGGACTTTTTATGGAAAGAATGTCTCAATTTTATGATAGTTTTGTCCATTCAGAGTATAAGTCGTAGGTGGCCCTCCTCCGTTATTAATGGAATGATCAACTTTTCCACTCGTTGAAGTGAATCAAAACATATTGTTGTAGGCATGAATATTTTTTTTGAAAGGAATTTTCAAAAATAAAAAAGCAGCAATTTCGATTGTACAAAAAAAGAATATTTTCTTTAGGAACTTATTTGTTTTACAATTGAAATATCAGAGGATGCGAATGGAACAATATAACGAGTAAGGGCGCGTATTGACACTCGTCATCATTGACATTAGTGGTGCCATTGCGTTTTTGGAACACCTCCGCTGCTTCAATCAAAAAATTGATGGTTCTTAAGTTCCCAAACACACCTAACTAATTTTGTGAGTAGAAATGGCACAATTTACATAACCAAATTCATAAAACATAAACCCAATGTTCAATACATGTATCAAAGAATTTTTAACATGATCTTTTTTTACTCAGTATTTAAAGATATGTTAATAAGATTGATGACAGAAACACTGGATTTAAATTCAGAAAGTCATTATTTTAGGGAGTAATTTCACATCTATATTCCTTTTGTCCTTTAACTAAGTTCTTAATTGATTTTTTTTCTTTTTTCGGAATGTGGGAGAGGAAATTTTCTACCTCTGTCTCCAATGATTTATTGCAACTTTCACGTTTTCAACCCCGCAGTGTTTGATTTTGATTTCTTTAATAACTGTGTTTGCATCATTAAGCAAATTTTTACGTGGTCGTAAGGTCCAAATTCATTTTATGAAATTTAGTGCATTGATATCATAAAAGAATTATATTCCATACTTTTTTGAAAAAATAGAAAAGATTTATCAGTCAGCTCATGAAAAGTGTAAGAAAATCCACATTTTAGATGTGGGCCTTAACACTACGGAAGAACATCTCTTGAATTAATCCCTATTACCAACATTATAAAAAGTAAATATATTCTAACAAAATGAGTTTTCAAACGGTTCTTGGTTGTTACTCATCCATTTCGAAATAAATTTTGCTATTTAACTTCACAAAATTTAATGAGGGATGTTAAAACACAAAAGTGAGTTCTCTTCAAATTCAATTCCTAGAGAGAAAACTTTATGAAATGTGATCTATATACTTCATTTCTAAATTAAAAAAAAAACGAAGTGTGGAGTTCATTTTAGAAAACTAACTAACTAAAGAACGAAAGTGTGAATTTTTTTTTTTTGGGACGGATGGAAAAATGTAAAAAAATCTTATAATTTCCACCCCCTTCAACTAAACACACCTTTGAGGCCATTTTCACACTGCATCTGCATGACTCAATTAACAACTCGAGATCATCTCCACCTGTTCATAAACCTAGCAAGAATGCAGCTACAAAAATCTTCACAGGATCACTCACAGGTGACATAGCCAAGAAGTTGGTGCTTCCAGTTCTTGAAGCATTAACTGAGGTCATGCATGTTAAGGCTCTTCTCTTGTGCCATTTGTGTACACATTTCCTGCAACGCCCGAACTTGCATGGGACACCCGGTCCGTGCTTGTGGAATTGAAGTATGGGGAGTGGGCAGAAACTGGGCTTCCTTGCGTGTGCCGGTTTCGCGCAGCAGTGCTGCTTCTTGTTGCCTTGGGGCGCGCCTTCCTGCCCTGCAGTCAAAGGTAACCGCATTTTCTACTGAATACAAACTTAACCTTGGGCCATAATGTTCTTTTTGTCTTAATTGTAACTGGAGCCTGAAGACGGGTAATTGGGAAAACCGAGATCAAATATACTACTCCCTCCGTTTGCAAAATAGGCTTCCTAGTTTGACTTGGAGACAAAATAAGGAAGTGTTAAATTACACAGTTGACTTCCAATTTGGCCCCTGATGTGATGGGTAAAAGTAAGATGTGATGGATAGATTATTAGAGAAAAAATATGATGTGATAGGTATTGTATGAAAAAGTAAGGGTAAAAGTGGTTTTTTAATAGAAAGTGGAAGTGTTTTATTGGAAGTGGAAAAGATGAAAGAAGAAGTGTTTTTGAGAACAGATGGAGTATAAAAGTAAAAGAAATTTTAGAGGAAATGTGGTTTACCTTCCCCATGCATTTCTCGAGATGAGGGGCAAACCGTCCAGCCATAACGGACCGGCCACAGTTCATACAATCAAACACTTCATCAGCCACAGGAGGGTGGGTTTGTCCATATATATCCACAACGAATTTGCTGCTTGCTTCAGAACTATTGCTTGGATCAGAAGCCATGGCACGAGCCTGTGCTGACAAGTGCACTTCTTCCTCCACTTCGTCTAGGTTGCGGTCAAGTCCCAGTTTCGCTATTCGGTGACACTCAGATGCAACATCAATCATAATGGAATCAAGAAGTTCATTGAAGACATGTGATGGGAGCTGCATGTGTCAAATACAAGGAATTTTAAGTCAAAATGGCACTTTGAACTACGAGAGTTCAGGTACAGTACATTGCCAATGAACCTAAAATAGTCATGATTCCTAATGGTTTAGTTTGGAGGACATAATGGACTAAATCAAAATGGCACATTGAACTGCCCTTACTTTCTAAGAAGGTTTAGGCAGTAAATCTAGCAATGCATCTGTGGAGTTGGGGTTGTTGTTGTATTCTGTGTCCCTAAGGGTCAGTTTGGATAGAAAGTTTTGAAGGGGAAGGTTTTGGAGGTTATAGTATATGTCTAGATGAATCGAATACAAATATACATGAATAAAAAATGAGATTGAGATTTTCCTTGACATATACGACCGCATGTCATTAACATTGCATTTTTTTTAAACAAAAAATGCATATAGATTCGATTTGGATGATTGAAGGGGGTTTCAGAGGAGAACGGAAGCGACAAATTTTTTTTTATTTCAAGAAAACATCGGTTCAACTCGACGGGTTTAAAAATATGTGATATGAAACGATATATTAGTATAAACTCATTGCCTTCCCCGCCCCTCATAAACTTCTCAATTACTTGGTGTATACCCTCCAATAACCAATTAAGGAATAGAAATATGTGGCTCCCGATATTTCTCTCTTTTCTAAACCGATCTCAACCACACACTTTCAAAGTTTCATCGCTTTTAACCGTAAACTTTATTTTGGGACAGATGGAGTAAGAAACTACCTCAGAATGAGATGTGATAGCATCCTCATTTGGAGCTGACATGTTTTTCCTTAGAGACAGTACAAAATGTCCATAGGTTCAAGAACCCTACTGCACAAATCCAACAACAACACATATAACACATCTCTCTACATAGGTCATAGGTTACTAAACATTTCATTTTTAAGGGTAGGAATAACAATTAATCAATCATGAGGAAATGATACATTTTTGTTAAGGAACAAATGATGCATTTAGTTAACCCAAATTTGAAATTTGATTTTTGAAATTGAATTAATTTTCTTTACGAATCGAAATTGGAAAAAAAAAATGAAATTCAATGGAACGAATCCCTATTAGAACAATAAAGGAAGCATAACACAGAACAAGGAAGAAATGAACTGAAATCTGACATTTAAAATGAAATAATCCATGAGATAATTAATCACAAACTTCGAAAATCAAAACGAACCGGAAAATGAAGTAGAGTAGAGAAGACGGTGGGGATTGATTTCCCAGGATCCGGACGAATGTCACGAAGCAGATTTCTACGGTCGGGTTGATGATTTCGGACTCCCACTGTTCAATCGGGTCAATTATCCACTTTTTTGAAGGAAAATAAATTCCCCCTCCCTTCTAAAATAGATTATATGGAGTAAAATTATTATTTTAGTCATTTGATAACTTTTATTTATTTTAATATTTTTATTAATCATTTAATAAAATAAAATGTTCTTGTAATTACTTATTTTGTGAATTTTTGTTGTGATCTTTTAATATGTAAATTTCATTTTTTATTTTTATCTCAATTTGTAAATAAATTAAATTTAAAAAACATGAAATTTTTTATATTCTTCAAATTGTGGAATCTAATTTGGGACGAATAAGTAAGTGCTATCAAAGTTGAGTGCTTCTTTGTTACACCTTGCGTGTATATCATTTTTGTGGACCTTCTCGAATAATTTTTTTTATTTTTTTTAATAAAAAATAAATGCTTATTTAAGTAATAAAAAATATTAATTGTGTTCATATGTAGGTCTATGATGGACCTTAGGTATACCATAGAATTTACCATCAAAGTTTACCTCACAAAATTAATATGGATGCCCAATCCAAAAAAGCAAACATAGAGTGAGACACTCTAACCAATAGATGAGTAGTGTGATTCACTAATTTTTTGACAAAAGGTCAAGACAAAGAGTGAAACTATGATTGCTAAGACCTTACATTCATCAATTATGAGGGAAAATAATTTGATTAGAGAGAAAAAAAATGTAAATGTAAAAAGAAACGACCTAAAGAGATGACGTGTATATATTATCTTATCAAATACTCCGTAGTTAATTAAATATACAAATCAATAAAAAAAATTTAGTGTTAAATGACTGAAGTGTTGTTGACACAGGTCGACGATATCACTAGTGGTACCACTACGTTTTTATAGCACTAGCCAATTGAAAAATTGATGATTGTTAATTCCTACACCACAAACCCACCCTCTAAACCTCCTCACTCCTATCACCACTTCAGGTACCACCTCCAAATGTATGGCTATTAGCCACACTTTTGGAATGATTTAGGGCAAGTTAGGGTGAAAGGGTTTAAAGAGTAGGTTGGATAGTGGTAACCCTCAATTTTCTGATTGGAGCACCGAAGGTGTTCCAGAAATGCAATGGTAGTATTGGTCAGTGTCAAATGAACTCTAAATAGAAGAAGTATTAATCTTCCAAAAATCACCCCCTAATTTCATAATATCTTATTTCCCTCAACCAATTTTTAAACCCAAACCCTATATTGTTCATAAGAATTTACCTGCCATTCTGGGAAGCTTTACATCCGCACATGGCTTTGTGTGGGCGACAATGGCAGTTATGGCCTAATCTGCAGTGTCTGGCCCTCCAATTTATTCTTAGCCACCTAACACATTGACAAATCATGCGAACTTTTTTCACCTGTGAGTTCTTTTATTGTCTGGAATGAAGAATGGCAGCCATTGTTGTTAACCTAAACTCTCTGCAACTGCTTCAGTCTTTCCCTCCCTTCACTCTTCCTCAATCAAAGTCTCAATCTTTCTTCCATTTCACGCCTCTTCCTCCGTCGGCGGCTGCTCGCTGCCACTGCAACACTGGTTTCTCTTTCCGGAAGTCAGCAAGACGGAATTTCAGGTCGCAGGCGACGGCATTAGCCATGATCTCTGCCGATCCGGTCGCCGGAGACCTAATCGCCTCCGTGTTATCCGGCACCATCGCGTTCTCCTGTCTCCGGTTCTGGGAGGAGATGGCTAAAAGAGGAGTTTTTGATCAGGTGGATCAGCATAATGTTTCAATTGTTTAGATTTCGGATAAAAAGCAGATCTGTGTCGGAATTCATTATCCTATTTCTGAATTCTGATACATTCACTTTTCCTTTCTCTTTTTTTTTCTTCTTTTTCTCTCTAACCAAACAAGGTTTTTTTCCTTTCCCTTTCAAATTTCTGGAACCAAACACAATATTAAGAATCAGTGCCAAAAGAATCTGCAGATTCTGTCCCATTAACTTCTCAGAATTGCTTGAATAAAAATCTACATTCTGAAAATTATAAATCTCAGGCACTATCACTTAACAATCCTAAAAGGGTTTTTTTTGTTAATTTCAGAAACTAAACAGAAAGTTTGTCCATGTTAGCATGGGTCTGGTTTTCATGCTTTGCTGGCCAATGTTCAGGTAATCTCCAAGAAGTTAGGAAATAAGCATGTTATCTCATATTTTTTGTGGCAACTAAAGCTAGATTTCTTTCAATGGAGTTTAAGCCAGAACTGTTTATGTATTATATAAATATTTTTAGCCCCGGTCGTCAAGGAGCACTCTTAGCAGCTCTTATTCCCGGGATCAACATAGTCAAAGTTCTTCTATTGGGACTGGGAATTTGGAAGGATGATGCAACTGTTAAGTCTATGACCAGATTTGGAGACCACAGGTTTGAACACTTTCAATATTAGGACTTAAATATACTTGCCCTGATACTGGAATATTGAAGGATGAAAGAATGGGATTTTTGCTTCCATGTTTCTAACCCTTTCTTTTATTAAATTATCATTATTGTCGTCGATATTGAATTCACGGGAAATAATCTCCCTACTTCCTATTAGGGGTAAGCGTTGTTTACACACATCCTCCCCAGACTTTACCCTCTTTTTTGTGGTATTTTACTTGGCATGTTTATGTTATTGAATTAGGGAACTTCTGAAGGGGCCTTTGTACTATGCTCTTACCATCACCTTGGCGTGTGCTGTGTATTGGAGAAGTTCTTCCATTGCCATTGCCTTAGTTTGCAACCTCTGTGCTGGTGATGGTAATAAAACTACTCTTGAAATCTTCATTTGTTAAACTATAACCTCATGTCTTCAAGTGGGCACGCCGTTTCTCTTTGTTATGAACATTTTAAGTAAGTGCCCTTTTGGCAGAACAATTTTGCTGATTGTTCGCTAATATACCTTCTAGGTATGGCAGATATTGTTGGCAGGAGGATTGGGATACACAAACTACCATACAACAGGAACAAATCCTTTGCCGGTACTATTGCAATGGCAGCATTTGGTTTCTTATCATCTATTGGGTAACTTCTGCTAGGCTTTTGTTTGAGTTGGTTCGTTAAGATGGTTTTTTTGCTTATATAATACCGTATACTCCTAATAGATATATGCACTATTTCGCCTCATTTGGGTATCTTGAGAAGACTTCACGAGCAGTGATTGGTTTCTTGATCGTCTCTATTGCTTCGGCTTTGGTTGAATCTCACCCTCTAAGCACTGATCTTGATGACAACCTCACGGTGCCGCTCGCCTCTGTGATGGTGGGCAGTTTTGTTTTCTGAGGTCAAATCTTTAGATGGGGGAGCTGTTAACTTGTTGACCTTAGAACCAATTGATGGATGAATACAGTGACATTTCAGCAAAAAGCTGTGTTGGAGACTTCACTTGGTTTCTAAATGGATTCAACACTTGTTGTAATTAGTCTATAGTTGTACTCTGTATCTAGCAAAAAATGGAAGATAAGGTTTGACTATACCAGGACTCAACTAGATGTATTTAATAAAATTCCCATTATTAAAAATGTTTTTTTACTACTACTTTTGCTCACTGTTCTATGATCAACATTTCATGTAAGTTTAATTCGTTAAAAAAAGGATGAGCCCCGTCTCCGAGAGTCTCTCAAACCCGGCCGGACGATTACTGAAGAGGTAAATTGAACTTTAATCACAGATATCCATAGCTTGAATGCATATAAATTTGATGGAAATTTACTTTCAAAATTTGGCATTCCTTACATTTTTCAGGGAAAAAACTTTGGAAATGCTCAAGTCACATAGCCAAATACTAAAGCCAAATAGCCAAATAATTGACCTTGCTTCTTCATCTATAAATCATCAAAGCTTTCAAACTTTTTGAGAATGATCCAGGCAATACACCACTTAAATTATTGCAGGCTAGATCAACAATTTGAAGTGTACCCAAATCCCAATGGTGTTATTATAAATGGGGACAGTCATGAGCGTCATGGAAGTTATTTGACCTTAAAACCACAACTTTTCAGGGAAGAATATAAGTGCAATGCTTCAAGACTAAGGCCCCGTTCCGTTCAACTTATTTTTTTCTTATTTTTTCTTATTCTTATTAAAATCAGGTCAGATCAAATTAGATCAGACCAGATCAGATCGAATCAGATCAGATCAGATCGAATCAGATCAGATCGAATCAGATCAGATCAGATCAGGACTTATTAAAATCAGATCCCATCAAGAATTATTATTATTATTATTATTATTATTATCATCATCATCATCATTATTGTTCTTAAAAATGAAAAAGAATAAACTTTAGAAATAGGTTAAATAGAAAACTGAGAAAGTAATCCTTACTTATTAGATGTCGGAAAAATTAGTTTTAAAATACATTGACAATGTCAATCTAATTCTACTTTTAAAATATATTTTTATTGCTACTTGTAATTTGAGTTTCTAAACTTTTGATCTTTTATAAGGATGAGATATTTTAATAAAAATGCTATCTCTTCTATATATTGATTATCTAAATTTAATTACTTTTTAATGTATATCTAAATTAAATATTTATTCTAATGTATAATTCTAATTTTACAAAAAAATAATCATAAAATTAAAATATTATTACATTATAATATGAATGATTATTCTAATATATGAATTAACTATTTTTATTTTATTAAAAAATAATCATTAAATAAAAAATGTTGATTATATTATAATATGAATTATCATTATAATTTTCAAACGTTATTATAAAGTCAAATTAAATTATTGATTTGAAATTTTAAATTAAATCATAATTAATTGGATCAGATCAGATCCAATCAGATCAGATCAGATCCAATCAGATCAGATCAGATCCAATCAGAACAGATCAGATCCAATCAGATCAGATCAAACCAGATCAGATCAGAACTTATTAGAATCAGATCAGATGAGAAAAAATAAGTTGAACGGAACGGAGCCTAAGCCAGTGAGGTAGTTTCGTCAAATGTGGTGATTCCTTGTGTGCACCAAACACAAGAGGGCTTCTCTCATGAATAAATTGGATTATACTGTGATTAACTCTCTCACACCTTTGTTGGCTAGGGTATGGGGTGCCCGGAGGATGCGTTCCACTTTTTTGACATGTTACTTTAAAGTTACTTTTCAAAATAAGAACATGTGCTTTAAAATATAAATTCTTAACTTCCAGTTTGTTTTAATTCTTTTCAGTTTCTATGTATTCCTTACTTCTAGTTTTTTTCAAGTTTCTTTCAGTTTTCTTCTAGTTTCTTTTATTATTATAACTATAGTTTTTAAATTATTTCAATTTTCTATTTTTATTTTTCTCATGTCACTATTTTGTAATTCACACTCATTAATATTTTTTTCTTGTATTTTTAATATAAATAATACGTAGTACATTTTTATCGGGCAAATTGTTCTTTTTTTAATTTACATTACACTAAAATATGTTCTAAAAATTATATATATTTTATTAATCTAAATTTACCTGGGGAAATATAAATAATTTAAATTAAAAATAATAATTATAATACTCTCTCTGTCCCTAATTAAATCACATTTATATAATTCACATAGTCAAATTTTATTTAATTTTTTGTCAAAATATATCAATTTTGGTTTTAAAAGTCAAGTGATAACATAATTACAAGATCAAAGGGATACTTATTCATGATATTTAATGTAAGCGACAAGTTCGAAAATCATCAGGGTTGATACTATGATAGTAAATCTGTACATATACAAATGATAAATCAACTGTAAACTATGTAACTTCACATGCGGTGTCATCGAAATTAAATAACTTTAGGTAGTCTTAGAGTACATCCCACATCGAAAATCTAAGAGTAAAATAATCGGTATATAAGCTCTAGAGTTGAACTAGCTAATCGATTGGATTCAATCTTTTAATGTGGTTCAACACAAGTGTCTTATTGCCCAATCTAGTTGCCCATACTCCGTCCTAAATTCTATCATGGTATCAAAGCAGGTTTTGGTCCACCTCGTTTATCAAGGTGTCCGTCTAGACGTTCATTCCTAGCGGCCCGTTTGTCTTTAGCCCAGTTGTCCGTATTGAGTACGTAACCAACGGCCTGTGACCCGTTTAACACGATTGCTAGTCTGGAAGTCCATACCCAGCGGCTCGTGGTCCTTTAGGTGTTGACGCTTAAAAAAATCAAGGGAAGGAGACAACTGGAGACAACTGGATTGGGTAATAAGATACTTGGGTTGAACCACATTAAAAGATTGAATCCAATCCATTAGTTAGTTCAACTCAAGGGCTTATATACCGGTTTATTTTCTCTTCAAGTTCCGATGTGGGATACTCTTGTAACACTCTCCATCAAGTGGACAACCGGGCCATTTTGAATCTAACCGGTTGACCACTTGCAAATGGACTCCCATCCCCTTGATTTTTTTTTTGAGCGCCAACACCTAAAGGACCACGAGCCGCTGGGTATGGACTTCCAGACGTGCAATCGGGTTAAACGGGCCACAGGCCGTTGGGTACATACTCCATACGGACAACTAGGCTAAAGACTAACGGGCCGCTAGGAATAAACGTCTAGACGGACACCTTGACAAACGAGGTGGGCTAAAACTGACTCTGATACCATGATAGAATTTAGGATTGAGGTATGGATAACTGGATTCGGTAATAAGACACTTGGGTTGAACCACATTAAAAGATTGAATCCAATCGATTAGTTAGTTTAACTCAAGAGCTTATATACCAGATTATTTCCTCACACTTTTCCGATGTGGGATGTTCTTTAACACTCCCACTCAAGTGGACAACCGGGCCATTTTGAATCTAACCGGTTGACCACTTGCAAATGAACTCTCATTCCCTTGACTCTTTTTTTTGAGCGCCAACTGGATTGGGTAGAGACAACTGGATTGGGCAATAAGACACTTGAGCTGAACCACATTAAAAGATTGAATCCAATCGATTAGTTAGTTCAACTCTAGAGCTTATATACCGATTATTTTACTCTTAGATTTTCCGATGTGGGATGTACTCTCCAAGAGTAAAATAATCGGTATATAAGCTCTAGAGTTGAACTAGCTAATCGATTGGATTCAATCTTTTAATGTGGTTCAACCCAAGTGTCTTATTGCCCAATCTAGTTGTCCATACTCCGTCCTAAATTCTATCAGGTAGTGTTTGGCAACTAGCATTTCATTTCAATTCATGCATTTCAATTCCAAAATTTGAAATCCTGAATTTCAAATTACAAGGGGAGGTGCATGGATTTCAAATTAAGTTTTGTTTTGAATGTAAAGAATTTGATTCAAATCCAAATTCAAAATGCTTAAGTTTCCCAAACATGGAATTTAAGTCAAATCCGGATTTGAAATCCAAATCCATGTTCCCAAACATACCATTAATTAACTTGAGTTTTCAATCGGAGGTGATAATTAGGATGAATAAGTAAAACTCTAAAACAATGTAATTTCAATAAAAAACAGAGTAATTTCAAAGGCAAATTATTTCGTAGTCATAAGGTTCATGCTCATTTTATGGACATTCGTGTATTAGCATCATAAAGAATTGAGTTTTTTTTTTGTAAAAAAAAAATTATTAGATGCACATAAAGCTCATGGTGGAGTTTCATATATGCTAAACAAGTATTATTTTTAATTGTTGAAATCACCAAGATTCAAGTGACATTGAACCTTAATGTCATGGGATGACCCGGGGGGTGCCCCGGTGCCCTACTCGTAAAATTGATGGTTCGTACCTCCACTAACCCCCTCGGTAAACCCCCCACCTAGCCCCGACCCGAACACACACACACCCCCTTCAATTGCACCCCACAAGACTCCAAAGTCAAAATCAACTTGTGGGGTGCAATTGAAGGGGTGGGGGGTGTGCTCGGGTCGGGGATGGGTGGGGGGTTTACCGGGATGGTTAGAGGGGTAGAACTGTCAATTTTACGAACGGGTCACCGAAACGCTCCCGGGTCATCCCATGACATCAAAGTTCAATGTCACTTGAACCTTCCCCTGTTGAAATAGGGATTTTACAAAAAAAATATAAATGTGAGTAGGTCTATGTGGATCTTAGGTCAACCATAAAACCACTCATCTAAAAAAATATCTACTTGTCAGTCTATAAAAAATGTAAAAAAATCTACATTTTACACGTGAATCTTAGAATCACACAAGAAAAACTCTATCTCGAGATTGTATTTTATTACTCGTATTTATACGACCACATTTTGTACGTAAGGGTATCTAGTAAGAATAGTCCACGAAATCACGAACCCTCATTTATAACATGTTTTATCACTTTTATCCTTGTGTAAAATTTGCTATTAATTGTGTTCTTGTGATCAAATTAAAGAGGGAATGTTATTAATTATGTTGACATGGCACAAGGCATTATTTAATTTTAATATAAATGCTTCACTTATTGTGACAAGACTCTCAATTTCGCCAAACACATAATTTAAGAAAATGAGAATGTTGCTCTTGATTTAGGTTCGATTAAATTTAATAAGATAAAAGTAATTGTACCTATTTAGTCTAATTAATAATATTTTATGCGACAAATAAATTGTAAAAATTAAAGAATTTTACGTAGGAAGTATACTTTTTGATATGTTGTGGTACTTATTTATAAAATAGTGGCCAAGCTATGAAAATCGAATGAGAATAAAATTTGTAGACAAAGAAGTACAAGATAAAAAAAACATTGAACTCTTCGTTTTTTTCATTTAGTTGTATAGTAAATTGAAGAAAGACCCAAAAATGGTGAGTAATACAAAAGTAAGAGTAAAACGGTGTTTTAACTATTAAAAATTTGAATAGTCTTTCATTGGTAGGAAAGGAAACGTAAAAAAGATTTTGGATGGGCAGTATATAAATAATACGGAGTATGCATTTATATAACTTTTTTCAAGAAATAAAAAAACTATTTCAAAAAAAAACTTAAAAAAGAAGATGATTTTTATTTCATTTTAAGAGTGAATAAATAATTTTAATAAAAAAACGATGGCAGCTGGCACAACGGATAGTATCACATGAAAGTTAAAGGGACTACAGCCTACATAATTAATTGTACATTTCAAACATTCTTTATTACCCCGTAATTATTAATCATTATTTGTTATTCCCTTCGTCCCAAAATAATTTTTCATTTGATTTTTTATAGTCAAAGTTTGTAAAGTTTAATTATGACATGTGAAAAAATTATATTGTAGGATTATACGGAGTATAATTTTAATATTAATATATTTGTATTGAAACGTAAGCTTGAAATATCAATTTTTTTATTAAATATACTCTCCATCCTTGAAAATATGAGATGTTTTGATTTTTAAAGGATTTAAGGAGAGTTTATTTTGATGTTGAGTTTCTAAATATATCTTTGGATGTGGTGGGTAAGAAGTAGGTTTCGATACGTAAATCAATAGTGAATAAATGTGATGTGATATGTATGTTAAGAATTAGTATGAGTAAAATTGATTTTTCAATAAAAATGAGAAAAAAATTTTGGCATGGAGAAAAAAAAGAAAGAAGAAAGATTTTCAGAGACGGCGGAGGTATCAATGATTATATATATATATATATATATATATATATATATATTGATGATCAAAGTGTAATATTATAGAGACCGTGGAAAGTCAAATGAGAGGAATATTTCCGGATGGAGGAAGTACTCCGTATGATGGTTAATCAGTCTATCATCTTTTTTTAATGAGAGATAACGAAAATTAGTGACAATCATCACCTACGTACTAATAAGTGGATCCATCTTTCACCAAATTATAATTATAGCTCAATTTACTTTCTCCACAAAAAACTATATATCCAACCATTTCAAGATCATTTTTTTTGAAAAGTAACATTTTCACCATTAATTTTTCATTTCTCAACCATTTAAAAAATTTTGTATGGTCAAAAAGTACTTCTTTTGTCCTAGAGTTTTTGTCCAGAATTAACCTTTTGAAATTAATAATCAGGACCAACCTTTGATCTCTAATAAAATAAAAACTAAATGATGATAAATAACAAAGTAATATTTTGAAATATTTTAAAAGATAACTTTAATAAAATTAAACTTGTCGTAATATTTGATATAAATTTTATTAATTTAATTAATGATCAAATTTATCAAATTTGCATACAAAAACAATAATTTAAAAAAATTCTCAAAAAAATAAATTTAATTTTAGAGGGAGGATTATATAAATGGAAAATGCTATTTGTACCCCAAAGAATTTGTACTCCACTTTGTACACCGCAGGAATGCACCGACATTTTATGTTGGTGTAATGCTAATTTTTGTTTACGCACTAACACTTTGAGTCAGTGTAAATTTTTGTTAACCCACCAATACTTTGTGTCAGTGCGAATCATCAAAATGTTGTTACATACTTTTGGTGTATAAATGGGGTACAAATTTTGAGTACATGTACATAGCATGCTCCTTAATTACTCCCTCCGTCCGGAAATGTTCTTCCCGTGTTGACTTGGTACGCTTATTAAGGAATAGTAAAAAAAATGTAAAATTTTCAAAAATGCACATACTATAAACTTTTAAATCTCTTTTTATTATTAAAAAAGTACTAAAAAAGTATATTTGTGATAAAATAGAAGGGTATTATTAATATTTAGCCTTAAAAGTATACTAAAAAAGGAAATGAGAAGAATATTTTCGGACGGACCAAAAAGGAAAATGTGAAGAATATTTTCGGACGGAGAGAGTATATAAATAGGTCTCATCATTATGATCAAAACACTCACTCACTCACAATTTAGTCTTAATTACTATTCTAAATGGTGATGAATATGAAGGTGGACCCACCTTCTGATGAGTCGTGTTTGGGCGTTGCAAAATGCAATAATCAGAACAATAACAATCCACCACTACTAGTTCATGTTGGTGGAACAATAAACCCTAATGAAAACAATGAGGAAAAGGGGAAAACGATGATGTCGTCAGCACCTTCGTCATTATCATCCTCTTCTTCTTTAGGCCGCAAGGCATCTCAAATAACGCTGGAGCAGCTGGTCAACTACGAATGCATGCATGGCCATGGCGGCCATCGCCATGTCGATCACACTAAGCTCAGAAAGTAAGTATAAATACCTAATTATATATTTTATGTAAAACAAATTAAATTTTAATTTTTTTATTTTATTTTATTTAAAGATTGGTATAAAATCACTTACTCGTGTAAAGTAATACTCCGTATCTAATACCTCGTACAATTTTTATTATTTAATAAATTAGTGTTTTTTTTTGTGAAACAAGTGATTGAATGATTGATAGTTGTTCAATTTGACTGAAGGAATATTTGAGAGGTTATATATATTATGTGTTTTAATGAAATACAAACAATTATAATACGTACGGAGTATATGATATTGTTATGGGTGCAGGATTATATCGAATCGGCTATCTGCTCAAAGATGCAGAAATAAAAAGACTCAGTACATTCGTGACATGGAAAACAAGGCCAATGATCTCCAGGTACCTATATATATTCATTGATCATTTCATCAAGTAAAATTATGAAGTATTATATTCCCTCTGTTCAAAAATTATATTCTTATTCACTATTCACATGATAAAATTGTAGAAGAATTTACGTAAATAGCACTAAAACATAATGACTTTTCCTAAGTAGCACTATATGTGTTTTTTCCTAATGTAGCACTTTTAGTCATTATGTGTCTATTAGTCATTATTCAAGTAAATCTTTGCCATCACTGGTCATTATGGACATTATTAAGTGTTATTTAGGAAATAAAACAACTTAAGTGCTGTTTAGAGAAATGACTTAAGTTTTAATGCTATTTAGTGCAAATATATCAAAATTGTACGTATTCACTTTGTTGAAATATATTCGGTATACATTTGATAAAATGGTATAGTCATGTCACCTCTAGTTTTGTAGATCTTTCGATGTAGTTTTTTAGTATATAATTTTTATTTTTTAATTTCACACCATTTTTCATATAAAATGATTTGAAAATAACTTCAGTCAAATATCGTCGTAACGTCCAACGAGAAGATAATTTTAGGATAAAGGAAGTATATCATTTTTTATTTTTTAAACTTTTGGTTTAAATTTCAACTTAATAAGTTTCATCATTTTGTATATATCCCTTCAATTACCACGTCTTATTTTGTATCCTAACAATGTATTTTTTTTTGTAATTACTTGTTGGCCTGGTCCTGGAATAATTAGGCGACTGTAACGTTACTATCTTCAGAAATAGGGCGTTATAAAGAGATACAAAAAGGGTTGATGGTGGAGAATGCTTTGTTGCTCCAACATCTACATGCCTTCACTCGTAAATCTAATCTCCTTAAAGGTATGTATATATATGTGCTATATATAGTTTATATATTAATCCTAATAAATCCTAAATTAAAACTTAAAAATTCTAGATTTCAGATTACGTACAAGAGGCAGGTGTTTGAATTTGTACTTTGCAGAAATTGATTTTTGTAGAAGAATTTAGTATAAATTCAATTTTTTTATTCCCATATACGAGTATGAAATGTGTAATTCTAGTCAAATTCTAGTACATATAATACAAAGTATTATTATTTCAACCAATGAAAAAAAGTCTTTCAATTATTCTCTCGTGTGTTAGTAATCAAAGTGTTGAATTAGAGATTACGAAAGATGTATCTCTCCTATTATATTTCAGAGGAAATTGAAGGGATGCAAATGGAAGTTAATAGGTTGAGAATGATCCACGAGGCCCAGAAAGAGCAGAAACTTAAAGCTCTATATATCAATGGAGTATGATCTACAAGTGCATGCAAGCAGCTCTCTCAACAGCCAAGAATTGGATTGAATGATGATATGCCATGATATATATGCCGGATTAATTGAGCTGTACCAGGAGCAAAAGTATCTCAATTAACTTGGGATATACTTCCTACTCTGTATTATTTAAAATTTGATTGTTAAATTACATTACTCAAAGAGATCGACCAGAATTGAATCATATTCATTTCGAGAAATTCAAACAATTACATTACAAAGTACGAAGTATTAATTACATACCCAACATTATTTATTTGCTATTTTAATTATGACATTATGGCATTAAGTCCCACACTAGATGCATGGATGTTTAAAAGAAAAAGAATCTAAACAAATTGGCTCAATCTAATCTATCACTCTGCAGTATAAAGTCTTTTGTGAGGTACCCAAAAATAAATCTGTGAGAGTTTGATGTATAGTAAACAATATCATAGTCCAACCAAACGAACCAATCCAAAAAGGTTGAAAAAGAAAGTTATAAATAATCAAGAAAGTAACAAAGATCTCTAAAGGGGTCTGAGAGAGTTTTGACGATACCTTCTAGAGCTGACAAATTGGTCGGTTAGTTCGGATTTTGTCACTTCAGTTTGGGTTACTTCGGACTTTAAAAAAGAATGAGTCTTACCCTCAAGAGTCTATCAAAATTCGTATGTCAGTTATCTGAGAGGAGAGAAATTGAGTTTTAATCATAAATTTATTGACAAAGGGAAAAACTTACACCTAACACATGAAGAGATGTCACAGTTTTCAGAAACTGAACCCCGTATTATTCTATTGACACTCAATCGCTAATTGTCCAACCAATTGTCACGTGCCCCCATCATGCATCTGTATATTCAGAATAAGGATAAGCCCTCAAGTCTCATAATCATGGTCGCCATCTCTGAAATTGGTCCTCTTCCGTTTATACGCTTTACACAACCGTGTTCCCTAAGATTGGCATCTACTTTTACCCATTCTCGAAAGTGGCTAAATTTGAGAATCCATTCACGCTTCAAATCTTCAGCCACCGGGTCGGGTCAAAACCCTAACTTTGCTGCTCATGAAAAGGGAGTGTTTCGGGAATTTAGGGTTTTCAATTCGACTGAACTAGACAGATCAGTTACGAGCGATGAACCTGATGATGAGGGTGAAATGAGGCAAGGGGTTTTCGAGGCGATTGAGGAACTAGAACGTATGACCAGGGAGCCCTCCCAGGTGCTCGAAGAAATGCACCAGAAATTATCTGCCCGGGATTTGCAATTTGTTTTGGTGTATTTTTCTCAGGAGGGGAGGGATTCATGGTGTGCACTGGAGGTGTTTGATTGGCTTAGGAAGGAGAACAGAGTGGACAAGGAAACGATGAAGCTCATGGTTTCAATAATGTATGGATGGGTTAAGAAGTTGATTGATTCGAAGAGTGAGGTTAGCGATGTGGTTGATCTTCTGGTGGACATGGACTGTGTGGGGTTGAAGCCGGGTTTTAGTATGATGAAGATGGTGGTTTCTTTGTATTGGGAGGC